TGATGGAAGTTATTTAGCAGATCTTCTTGGATTTGATTTTATTTCTCTGATCTCTTAAGAACATCAATCTTTGGGTTTGTTACCTGTAATTTTTGTCTTAGGAAGGCAGCATCCTTTCCAGGAAGAAATCTTGATGCGTGAAGAAGAAAAAACCTAGTATCCTGCCCTGTTTTTGTTCTCATGGAGATTCAACAGATTTTTACATAATCTGTTTTTGCTATAATTCACCCTCCATTTCTTATATTCTTTGTAAACATCCCTTTCTCCTGTGAGCTGACAGCTTCTGTTCTTTTTCTTGGAGCTTATGAGCTTTTTGAGTCAGATCCTTTAGCAAAGCCCTGGTTTTCTGCCCATGGAGATCATTAAGGATCTCTACCAGCAGCTGCGAGATTTTGCATTTATTTTCAACTATTGCATTGACTGGCTGCAGTAAAACAAAGTTTAAAATTTTTTTCTTCCAGCTGATGCTTTGCTGGCAATTATTTGGCTTAGACTATAAATGGCATTTTTTTTTTTTCCAGTTCTTGTTAATGTGGATTTTGGCATTGTCTGATGACCCTAACTTTTCATCTTCTTAACGTGGTAATCTGCCAGTTAACCCTTTATTTTCAAATCATCTAGTTCATTTCCTTTTCTATGAGTTTTCTCCTCTGACTCAAAGATCAAGATGACGTGGTTTTAGCTATCTAGTATATTTATTCATAACTACAACTGCATTATTTTCCTAAACCACAGCTTCTTTCTGAGACTTGAGATCTTATCTGATTTGCTCACTACCTCAGTAGGTAGGGGTGGGACAGAAGCAGTTTTGGGCAGAAAGACGCCACGGCCTTCTATTTACTGCAGCCTCCACGTCCCCCTCCAAACAATCTGTACTGCCACCTCTTTCTCTTCTAACTCCTATCTTCCATCTCTTTCTTCACCTCAATGCACACACATATCCGATCACAATAACTTTTTTCTTAACAACTTAAATTTGAAGATATTGGTTTGTAGATTTGTAGCAGAGCTACTTAACAACCTTTCTATATTCTTATTGTTCTGGACTTGTACCTGCTTCATGCTTTCTCTCTCCAGATCTTGTCCCTGGCTGTTAACTCTGATTCTTCCCAAACCAGCCCTACTCTGACTTACGCAGTTTCCTACCATCAAACCGCCAGCAATGACGCCTGGTAAGGGTGCTGACCCACAGCCAGGTGCATTCTTTCTCCCAATCTCTCTAATTCCCAAATGGCCTGGTGACACAGTTACATTAGATTATGTTGGATTAGTTCTATCACTGCTGAATCTGCTTCCTTAACTTGTGTTCAACTACAATTGTAATTTATTACTTGCATTGTTTTAAGTCTTCAAAAGTCCTCAGTTAATACTTGAACACAGCTTCTCATGTGACACTTTTCCTCTTCTAGTCTAAGTTTCTTTTTGGTGAGCTCTTGGGGTACTAGTAAGAGAATTTCTGCAGTCCAGAGAAGGAGGAGGGATCATCTGGTGCCAAAATACCAAATGTGTTCATGAGTGTGTGTGTGTGTGTGTGAGAGAGAGAGAAAGTGAGAGAGAGAGAGAGAGGGAAAAAGACTGATCTTTTTACTTCTTGTAGCTTTCTTCTTTCTGCTGCTTGTGTTTTGGGAGAGGTGAATTTCCTCCCTTCAATTCCCTATGTCTCCTTGTTCAAAATCATGCTGACAGGTCATGGCTTCTGATATGGTAAACCTCAGGATGCTCCTTACCCATGCAAGAGGTTTGGCTGGCAATTCACACTAATTTCTTCTCCCTTATGACTTGTAAAATTCAAGTACTTGTGAAAATGAAAAAACTTTAGGGTACATATCTCACCCAATAAGGCTTCTTTATAAAGCTGCTTCTGCTTCTCAAGGTAGCTCTCCTCTCTCTCTCTCTCTCTCTCCCCATTTTTTTTTTCTTTTTTTGGGAAAGAGTCTTGCTTTGTTGCTCAGGCTGGAGTGCAGTGGCACAATCTTGGCTCACTACAGCCTCTGCCTCCCAGACCCAAACAATTCTCATGCCTCAGCTCCCGAGTAGCTGGGATTATGGCCGTGTGCCAACACACTCAACTAATTTTTTGTATTTTTAGTAGAGATAGGGATTCACCATGTTAGTCAAGGTCACCTTGAACTCCTAGCCTCAAGTTAATCCTCCGACCTCAGCCTCCCAAAGTGCTGGAATTACAGGTGTGAGCTACACGCCTGTCCAGGCAGCTCTGCATTCTAAACATTAAGGTACCATTAGGATAGAACTAATTTAGAGCAATGTTATGTAGTGACTTTCTCATACAGGGAGTGCAACAGCCAGGTTGGTTATACCAGAACATTATTTATACAGTGGAAAAATCAGGCTTATGTGTGTATGTGAATATAGAATTTATTTTGTCTTAAAATCTGAGCCTCCTGTTTAAAGTTTTTTAAGGGACTAAGCAACTTTTGCTCTTCACTCTTAATGCTTTTTCTTTCAGAGCCCACCTTTCATGAAACCCTGCAGCACTAAACACTTTTATATTTGTAACATATTTAAAAGATAAAGATAAAAGTGTCTGCTCCCAAGCTCATGGGCAAGTCCACTCATCACAGGTGTTCGCCAACAGGGTCAATATTTGCTGACTGAATAAATAATGAAATAGTATTAAAGATAAAGTCATTTAGGGTTTTACTGAGAATGTAAAAACTCAAAAATGAAAATTCCAACTAAAAAGCAGAGGATCCAAACCATAACTTTTGATGCCAAAACTCTTGCAACTACCTCAGAGCATAGGCGAGCACACATAAGTGTATAATACCATCCTCTCCTCTTATGCTGCCATCTCTTCCACCCACATGGGGCTTGATGCCAAGAATCACAGGTACACTGCACATAACCTGTGTTGACAAGTGCACACTTTAATTGGTTGATGGTCTTGTGGTGGTGAGTGGGTATGGAAGTAGGGTGTGTCTGGACTAAAGGTATGGGATCAGGCTGGTTCTCACATTCTCACCAGAAATAGGAGTTGACCACAGCTGTTATTGCTTCTCCGTCGTTGGGAGAGATGATATGTAAGGTGGTTCAGAGTGAGGAAGCTGGAAACAGACATCCCTGTCATGGATTTTCTGTTTGAGGATTATTACTTATGTGAGCTTTGACAAAGGATTGAAGGTCTCTAAGCTTTATTTTACAAGTGAAGACAATAAAAAAAACAAACAACAATTAGCATAAAGCTTGCATGTAGATAGTGCTCATACAGTAAAACAAAAAAAATGTTGCTTATTCATATAGCACTATTTACTGTTTGCATTTGCTCTTATACTTATTTGCATGCTTGTTAATTACTTGCCCCCACCACTAGAATGTAAACCTCATAAGAGCAAGAACCATGGCTTTACACCTTGATGTTGTTCCTCATTTTTCCCCCAATTATTTGATATGGTCAAGTGTTGTTTCCTGGAATGTATGGAAACAGTTTTGAAAGCATGGCCTTAAATCCCCTGCCGATCTACTTTTTAAGCCATGACGCTATTGATTTGGCAGAGTATGGACTTGGTTTAATTTCTACTCTACAATAATAAGCAGATTTTGCCTGGAAATATCCCATTTTTGTAATTCATTTTTAAAAGATAATTATAATAGCAAGAAAGTAATTATTATAAAAGTAAATATCTCTTTTTAAGATGCACACAGTATCAACTTTTACACAAAAGGTTCCATATGCTATAAGATTTGCAGTAAGTTGCCAACCCCTTCTCTAAAACTTTCAGGTTGTTTTTGCCCTCCAGCTCAATCAGTTATTCAAGAATTACATCTGTGATTTAGGCAAAAATATGACTTACATGCCCTGGTCCCTAGTGGGAAATAAAGCACTTGAGGGGGCTGCAGCTAGAGACCCTGTGCTAGCCTAGGACCAAGTGTAAACTAATGTCATCTATTTGGAGCAAAAGAAATGGGCAGAGTCCTTCTGCTGGGACGGGTGAATTTTGGATGCACTGCAGTCCTCTGCTTTCATTATTCAGAGTATCTAGAAGTAGATGATTGATACAAGTCAGATCTTCCACAAGAACCCTTGCCACTATTCCACAGAGTAACTCTCATGATCAAGGTGCTTGGTGCTACTTAAGCTAACGAAAAATTCGCTTTCACCAAACAATAATCAACTAATCTAAAATCCTTGGATGTTACAAATCATTTTTCCTCTGCCCTGAGCAATATTTCTATGGGTATTTTTATATAGGCTTATCTGTAATTAATATTTATAAAGTAAGATTTCATTGGAGTATATTAGCCTCTCAAAATAGTATAGAGATTAGTATAATCTGATATATATTTTGATTTTTAAAAACATTATCTGATTTGTAAACATACACTCAATTTCTTCTTAACATATGGCCTAAATCTTGACTATTTTGCTAAATTTTAATACCTTCCCACAAGAGCAAATTTAGTACATTAACACACCTTCTAGTTGTTGGCATTTTGAAAGTATTGGCTCAAAGAAAGTGTCAGGAAAATGGGTAAGAACACTGTAATCTTGGAAAGAGCATGGAGTTATGTAAAAAAACTGGGCTGGGATATGGTTTTATTTCTCACTAGCTGTATGAGTTTGGGAAAGTCATTTAACCCATCTGTGCCTCAGTTTCTTAATGACTGACTTGCCTTTCCCACAGTGCATTGTACAAACTGAGGGAAATTAAAGTTTTAATTTATCCCAGCAGAGTCCTGATGGCTAAGAAAAAAAAAACGGAAAGAAAGAAAAATTTAAAAACATTAAAAAAATTTTAATCAAAAGTCTTAGCACACCTAGATGAAAATAATGTTTTCTGATGGGATATCATAAACGGGGAGGGACTGGGATTGCCATTCTTCAGATACCTACCCACCATTTTTGGTCAAGGAGCAATATCTATTTGTGAAGAAAGGAGAGAGGCCAATTGGGGGTGCTCAGATATAACCACTGGGGGAATTACTGTGGGTTGAACAGCTGCATATAGAATTGTAGTTTGACAGGTTTTCCTGCCCATTAGCACTTGGAAGATGCCATCCCATTGTCTTCTGACCTCTATAATTGCCACTGAGAGATCTGCTGTCAGTCTGCTTATCCTTCCATGGTAAGTAAATTGTGTTTTCTCCTTGTTTTTAAGATTGCTGTCTTTGTCTTTGGTTTTCTGAAGTTTCACTATAATGTCACTAAGTATAGATTTATTTTTATTCATTCTGCTCAGGACTCAAGTTTCTTCAATCTGAAGATATATGTCTTTCTTCAGGGACATGTGGAAAAAAAAAAGATGTTGCACAACCGTCAAAATTGCAAAAATAAAAAAAAATCAAGTGTTGGCAAAGATGTGGGGAAAATTCTCATAGCTACTGATGAGAATTTATTATGACGCCTTTAAATTGCAATCTGGGGATACTAGCAAAGGAGGAAATTGTATAACCTGTGATGAAGCAATTAAAATTTTAGGCACCCATTCTAGAGAAAACTTGAATTCATAGAAAAAGGAGACACACATAAATCTGTTCAATGAATCATTGGCATTAAAAAGAGAAGAGAGAGTTAAAAAATTTTTAACCAAAATGTCCACCAATAAAATGAGTGAATCACCTGTGGTATATTCATAAATAAAAATCTTAAGTAGCAGTTAAAACAAATCAGATATACACACATTGAATAGATAAATTTAGAGCACAAAATGAGGAACATAAAAAGCAAATAGTAGATGGCAAACATAATATAATGTACTATGCATAAATTTTAACAAAGCACAATAGTATATTGCATATTGCCCAATAAGCAGAAGCCGTAAGGTCTCATACTTTCCTTATGATACAATAGAATAAAAATGACAACAAAGTAAAAGGGTATCCCAAAAATAAAACTATCAGGAAAAAAAAATTTAAATAACTCCTGGTTTGAAGAAATAACAGAAAGTAAAAGCTATCTATAAATGGTTAACAATTTTAGGTGGACATATTTGTTTGAAGAGATAGGTGGAATATAGATGACAAGCCTGGGGTATCTTCAAGGTTATACGTCTTAGAAAACAAAAATACTTGTTTGGTTTTAATTTTGGATCTGGTCTCGTTCTTGTGGCTCCAGATGATTTCTGACATGGAGAAAAATGGGGAAGAGTTGAAATACATCCTTCCACCCAAACCCTCCTTTAGTAATAGCTAAGAAAATGCAGAAGAAAATAGAATGTAGCAGAATGTGGAGGGATGTAAAATGGACAGTACTAGGGTAGAGGGAAGCTCAGATTACAGGAAAGAAAGAGCACTAGGGAACCATCTTGTGCTAGGAACTGCTGTGGCCAAGCACAGTCAGATGCCAAAAGATCCAACAAGGCCATGGCTCTGTGCCCTTGAGTGAGCACAACCATTCCTAGCCAAGTTTAAGAGGCAAGTAAAAATATGGGGGCAATGTCAGACAAAGTCTTGTTCAAGTTATGGGGCTAGGATAAGAGAGAATGCCACAGAGTAGGGAGGAAGAGCGATAGATCCAGGTGAAATACAGCTCAGAGTGCCATGACCCCAGGAAGAAGAATCAGGCAAGTACTGTCCCAAGGCAGCTAGAGGGTGAGGGCAGAGTGTCCTGGTTTCCTTACTTGGGGATACCATGGCTATCTGTGGAAATTCCAATAAAAAGGCAGGAAAATTTGACTGGATGGAATCCAGGTAGAAATGTTTCTCTTGCCTAAATTCAGGTGCTAAATAAACAACAAAATGGTAACCTCTGCTACGAAGCGTTTCCAACGATGGGATATCTGAGGCCATTACATTCCTGGAATAACATGGTGAGGTGCAGGGTGGTGGTGGTGGTGAAACATTCGCCAGACCACGGTAAGTGAGAGCAAATTACTGGCCCGGCCCAACCCACACCTAATAAGAAATTTAATATCCCTTTGGCCTGTTTTAGATTTTGGCAAAGCTAGGCCCATAGTCAGCGCTTGCTGGGCTCTCCCTTCCACACCATCCAGAAAACATACATTTACTGTGGAATGATTGTGGAGGTGAGAGTATAGTGCATATTAATTCATGCAAAAAATTAGATGTTAGTGCAGAAATGTAAATGACAAGAAACTACTGAATTCTCTGTCTGTTGTGGAAATAAAACCTTCTGGGGATGAATCAAAACTATCTGACAATTACTTGAAACAGGTGGAGAGCTAAATGTAATGTGCCTTGGATATTATAACTAAAAGGTGCTATAATCCAGTTTTCTTTTTGTCTTTTAAGGATTGGTTCTGAGGCACACTACCAGTAAATATTGCAAAAATTATGTAAAGTTCCAAAAGCTACTCTGTGTAAACTTCTTGAGTGGGAATTTTCAACCATAATGTCTGGCATATGACTGATAATTCTGAATGTTAACTGATTTTATGTTCTGATGTTTTGACTGGTTTTGGGAAAAATTTTGGGAAAAAAAAAAGTTATCCTTGTAAATACCCAACAACTGGGTCTCTGGGTAAAAAGTCCTAATTTATAGAGATTGCTAATTTCCATAGTGTAAATATTTCCACAGTGCAGATTCCT